AGCGTAGGAGGTGGCCTTTTAACCCCGTTGAAGTTTCTTGGGCAGAGCGCAGGCAAGAAAAATCAGCTGAGTTTTGGGTTAAGTTTGGGTTTGGATTTTGCATCTTGCTCCTACTTGATACATTAGACTTTGTCTCTAAGACTGAATTATTAAAAACACTTGAGGAAGTGTGTTAATTGATGGGGTAAATTGGGAAGGGATGGAGAGAGGATTGCAATTACTCCATCAAATTATGAAAAATCACAGACAGGAGAGGTATAAAATGTAGGGCTTCTCTTTGAATAATTGAAAAGCATCAATGGCCAAAAAAAAAAAAAAAGTAGTTAATCAAGATGGTGGATGATAAACTGGATGGGAACTGGAACACTTTACCCAGCCCTCCAGAAGAGAAATGATGTCCTGTGTTACGCTGGACTATTTTTCTCTAATCCGAATGCAGGAAGACTACTTTGAGCTCTGCCATTGGGAAACTGAGCAGGGATTGAAGAGAAAATCGTTGGCTCTTGCCACTGGGGAGCAGTGTTGAGGACAAGAACTCTTCAGATGTTTGTACCGAGCTGTTAATGAAGCTTTCTGAGCCTTGAAATAGCCAGAGGTTGCGCATCTAGGAGTAATGGGATGAAAACGAACAAATGAAAACCATTTTCAAACTGTCATTCCACTTCTTCTGGAAGGCTCCTGGCAGACGTGGAGGTTATCCCAGAGCATTTTGAGTCATTTAAAACCTACTAGAGAAAGCACTTCGTCAAACAGGGATCTGGTTCCGAGGCGGGGGGAGGTGGGTGTGCTGGTCCTTGTTGTTTAATAGCGTGGCATCCTGGGGAGTGACGTCTTTGCGTGGATCTCTGCAAACATGTTCCTCGCTGCCGCATCTAATGCGATAGCTGGAGTGCTTTTTATCCGCTTTTTTATCTTAGCGTGGTAAGATGAAGCAGTATAAGTGTTAACTCTTAAGATTGTTGCATCTCGTAACTGGGGTGGGTCTTTTTTGCCTGTTCACGCCTACTTACTCCAATCTTACGGTAGGACTACAAGGTTTTGGTTGCTTTTTTATTTCGCATTAGGAGGAGAGTTTCCCACTGTTGATTCTGGTTGTTGCTGCATTGCAGTTGGTCCGCACTTCCTTTCTTTCCCACTAACTTTTTTCACTCCTCTAGGCGGGTGGTGTTGGCAAAATTATTGCTTATTATTGAATTTTTGCCAAACAAGAAAACACTCGACAAAAATAGCTAAAGAGGATGTTGAGTTTTTAGTCTGTGGCCAGGTTACAGCTCGCAGCCAGCTCCGGCGGCTGTTGGAGGCTCGTCAGGGGTTTCACCCCTG